CCCTCTATGGACCGCGATTTCTTAAGAGTTTGCTAAAAAAAAGTACTGGATGCGGCCATGATTCTCTTATAATCGTTTTCTCTTTTTGTAAATAAAATGGAAATGACATTAAGCCCTTGGAGCTATTTTTGTTCGAATAACGTGAGCTGTTTGTTCGGTTTGTTTTTTTGACATGAGCTACTCGAGCCAAACTGTTTGAAAGGGCTCTTGGAATCATAGGCTCATGGGAGGAGCTCTTACTCGATGATTCTATGATCCCATGACCTATGATTCCAAAGTCACAAACAAACAACTCAAGCTCAAGCTCAGAGCTGTTTTAAACTCTACTCGTGCAGGGCTCTACTTTGAATGCTCTATGAACCCCATTTGAAGGAGCTCTTCTACCTTAGCATTGATTTCCCCTTGAACTTTTGGATTCTTGGGGTAGTAACGGTGCTTGATAGGTTTGTCGTCCTTCATCGTGATCCGATGCTCGACCATGTTCGACGTTCCCGTCATGGTGTTAAAGTCCGCTAGCTCTTTCTCCAGGAATTCCGCTGGGTCGTTATCCTCGCTTGTGTGTTGAACGACTGCCACCGATAGCTTTTCCTCGAGCCACCCATTGTGTCGGTTCCTGGCCGGTATTGTGATCTCGTGTCCGGCGCACTTTATTTCCGTTCCGACTTGCGTGAGGAAATTCCATCCTAACACCAACGAATCCACTACCCCTGGTAGTATCAGCAGGCTCATGGTCAATCGCTTGTTTCTGAATGCGATTTCTACCTCCAGCTGTGCATTGATTCCACCGCATCCCCGTCAGCCAACCTAACTTGCCGTCTTGTTTTTGTGATCTTTCCAAGGGCAGCCAGACTGTCCGCCAGTTCCTCGCTTATGAAGCTCGCTGTTGCCCCGGTGTCGATTGTGGCTTTATACGTGCCTCCACCAATCGTTACCGCTGCGGACAACTGCTGCTCCTTTTCGATCAGCTTGCCAGTTAGTTTGGAGAGGAAGCATTTTGCGATCCCCGCCCGCCTCTCTGCGGCTGAGATCGCTGACCATTTCCCGCTCTTTGTCAGCACTCGACGCTCCTGATACCCACTTTGCCGCACACCCAGCAGAACAACAAACACTGTTTGCTGCTATTTGTGATGAGTTATTCAACTCCTCACAACATGAATCACTGCAGGGCGGCGCATGATCTGCTCATGCAGACCGTTCGAGAGTTGGGATTGGAGGTGGCAATTTTGAGCGAACTTTACAAGGTCGGAAACGATCGACGATGGGCCGCTGATATAAATGGCAAAGCAGCCCTATGGCTTTGCGGCGGAGACGGGCTCGAGATGACCAACATCAGGACGGGCGATGGGTTCGTCCGAGCCAAAATTGGAGACCTATGGGTGTACAGCTGCTACCTAGCCCCAAACGATTCCGAGAAGGACCCTCTGCAGCGACCTCCGTGGGAAAACCAAAGTGGTGGTTGGTGGGGACTTCAATGCCTGGGCGGAGGAGTGGGGTTGCCCAACAACAAACGCCAGGGGACGCGCTGTCACAGACACCGTGGCCTCGCTCAATGTTGTCCTGCTTAACGAGGGCTCCCAGCAAACCTTTAACAGAGCCAGTGGTGGATCCATAATCGATTTCACGTTCGTGAGCAGCTCCCTAGCCAGCCGAACATCCTGGAGGATTGGCGATGTGTACTCAGCCAGTGATCATGAAGCCATACTTCTGACCATTGGCGTCACAGCGAGCAACAGACGGCCGCCGGCTGTACACAGGAAGGCCTACCGTCAGGACACGTTCAGGACTCAAGCCTTTGCCAGAGCGCTGGAAGGCTTGTCGGTCTCCGAGGGGGACACTGCAGACGAGGCAGCAAATAAGTTGGCAGCTCATCTAGAGGAAGCCTGCGATCAAAGCATGGACCAGCGAATGATATTCCGTATGCACCATTCGCCTGTGTACTGGTGGACGGAGGAAATCGCGAGTCTGCGGAGGACCTGCCATCGGGCAAGGAGGTTGGTCTAGCTTGCCAGGGACACACCGAGCCTGGACTCCCTCAACGAAACGTACAAGGCTGCAAAGGAGGCACTTAAGCTATCGATTAGGGACAGCAAGAGGGAATGCTACTGGAAGCTCTGCGACGAACTCGAGAACGACCCTTGGGGAAGAGCGTACAAGATGGTTGTGAAGCCGTCGGCCCTAGAAGCCATCGTACAAGCACTTTTTCCAGCGGGACGTAGGCACTCCATTCCCCGCTGCACTAGCGGAATCAGTGACTCCATATGTCCTGTCACGAAGGCTGAACTCCTGGCGACTGCTAGGGTCCTACACAATAAAAAGGCACCTGGACCGGATTCAGTCCCGAATGGAGCAGTCAAGGCCCTGCTCTCTCTTCAGACGAAGGCAGTAGCAGATTTGTTTAACAAGTGCCTAGTGAAAAGGACCTTTCCCGAGTGTTGGAAGCGCCAAAAACTTCTGCTACTCTCGAAGCCGGGCAAGCCAGCGGGAGAACCCTCGTCGTACAGGCCCATCTGTCTGTTGGACAGCATCGGGAAGGTCTGCGAGAGGGTCATAGCAACAAGGCTGAACACCGCCCTTGAGAGCGCCGGAATACTTTCTCCCAGCCAATATGGGTTCCGAAAGAGAAGATCAACCCTAGATGCGATCGGTAAAGTAACCAGGATTGCGGCTGAAGCCATCGCAGGCACAAGATGGAAGGGAGGGACGAAGGAGTATTGCCTTGTAGTGACACTCGACATCCGGAATGCGTTCAACACGGCCGATTGGGGAAGGACGCTGGAGTCACTAAGGTCCTTCAACATCCCCGGGTACTTGCTGAACGTAGTCCACAGCTACCTCAGCAAAAGGCAGCTGTCCATCGACACCTCATCCGGACCAAGGATCTACGAGGTCACTGCCGGAGTTCCACAGGGTTCGGTGCTCGGGGCACTGCTGTGGAACACCGTGTACGACGGTGCCGTTAGGCTCCCAATGGCAAGCAACACCAGCATAGTCGGCTTCGCCGATGACGTGGCGCTGGATGTGGCTTTCAAGCATGTGCCAACTATAGTCGCGGCTGCCAACAGGGCGACCCAAGCAATGGAGGCGTGGCTTTCTGTGGCGGGTTTGGAACTGGCAGCACAGAAAACAGAGGCTGTCCTAATCTCGAACAGGAGAGTGGAGGAGACGGCGGAGATCCTGGTCGGTGGGACTACAATTCAGGCTCAGCGTGCCCTGAAGTATCTGGGAGTGATGCTAGACACGCGCCTGTCGTTCCGCGAGCACCTCGAGTACTCGAACAAGAAAGCGAGGGAGACGACAAGACGACAAGAGGATACTCCTCGCGAGCGTGGTCAAGTCACAATTGCTGTACGCTGTCACGGCCAAGGATAGTTACATGCGAGAGGTCAACTCGACATATCGTCTGTGGCTATCAGAAAATCGTGCGCCTTTAGAACCATCTCTGACGATGCGGTTCTAGTTATCTCTGGCGAAGTCCCACTGGGAGAACTGGTACGGGAATCCAAGGATATCCGTACCACCCTGAGTATCATCCAAGAAGATCCGAGGTCCAAAGCCGAGGCCAGGGCCCGCTCCAGAATGCAGAGTGTCAGCAAGTGGCCTGAGTGCCACCGGTTCAACCACGAGCGCCAAGTGCTGGAGGAGATATCCGGGGCAAGAGTCCTACCTGAAACCCTCGTTCCCTTGATGATAGGGAATCAAAGGACGTGGAAGGCAGCAGCAGCATTCGCAGCTAGCGTTTTGCGGACGCTGCGATCGCTGGAGAGGGAAAGGAGAGGAGCAGCGGTATCGTGCGATGTCGCCCCTAATCACGAATAGTCAATATATTGTTAGTTTAGATAATCATAGTTGTTAATAAGGGAATACAAAAAAAATCTAGGGATTGTGTTTATAAAAAACTCATTTTGTGGCTTTTATGTTGGAGCCCTGCATGATTGGTGTCATAGCTCCCTTTGATTTCATGAGCCATTCGATCTATCTATGCTTTTTAAGTCATGACTCCTATAGCTCATGACTCCTATGAAACATGGCTCATACTATAAGCCATGACCTACTTAACTCATAAGAAATGAAGTGACTCCTATAGCTTATCAGCTGACTGGTATAGCTCACATAGTAGCTCATAGGGTTCATTGTCAACATAAAAAGTTGATTTTGTGAAAAATATTTGTTTCTGATATTTATTTATCATGGTTATATTTAAGATAAATTTTCAGCTATGTGTCAAATAATCCGCCAATTCTTAACGTCTTATAATTCGCGAAATCTTCAGGTAGAGTGATACGGGTATACTTAAGGTCAACTAGTCCGCGAGTTCTTCATGTCAAATAATCCGTCGGGTGCCCCGACTATCAGATACCCGTTACTCAGCTAAAGGGAGTGCGAAGGAGATGGAGATAAAAACTTTGATCCGCCGTAACTTTTTAAGGAATGGTCCGATTTACAAAATTTCTTCTACATACTGTAACATAAAACACTGTAAACATGCATAACACTGAAATAGAATTTACAAAGAGAGGAATAATAGAGAATTTTAAAAAGCAATTAATTGAGAATGAAAGGAAAATAGGGGGGCATCTGGATTTAGGAAGAAGGGGGTTAAATAGATTCTTCACCGTAAAATATAAAAGTGCTACGGTAGGTGTTAAATGTCACTACAATAATATATATAGAAGATTGAATTTTAAACGTAGTGTAAATAAATCTAAACGTAGGAATTCAAAACATATAACTACTCCCCACCACCACCACCGCCACCAGCAACGAAAATCTAAACGAAATATTAGTCCTCCCCTAGCAACAATAAGAATAAATTGCTTTGAATTTGCTGAAGTTCTAACACATGCACTAATACATGCAGAGAGACAGAAAGATAGGAAAGTATATGAAAGAATTTCGAAAGATGCTGATATTATTTCTATGCAAGAGAGTAAAAGGGAAGAGATTGGAGATGTAGAACCAGGATATCTTGGAGATGACCCACAAATAAATTAAATAGGTATTGAAACAGCAGAAAAAATTAATGCAATATATTTGAGAAAGAGAAATATAGAATCTCAAATGCTAACTGAGTATTTAAATAAAAAAGAAAGTGAGATTAGTACAGATACAATTCTAATTAATGACATTAATGACTTCAAAATAACTAATAGTGATACTATAATCTGATTGAGTAGGGAAATATGTTTGTTTTTGCAGAATTTAAATAAAGAAGTTGCTAATACTATTTCGAGTGGAGTACAAAAAGGTGAGTTGAATAATAAATATACATATATATAAAATAATATTTATACTAATAATATTTATATTTTCAGAATTTCAAAACTTTAACAAAAAAGAGGTTAATAATACTATTTCGAGTGGAGTACTAAAAGGTGAGTTGATTAATAAATATACATATATAAAATAATATTTATACTAATAATATTTATATTTTCAGAATTTCAAAACCTTAACAAAAAAGAGGTTAATAATACTATTTCAAGTGGAGTACAAAAAGGTGAGTTGATTAATAAATATACATATATAAAATAATATTTATACTAATAATATTTATATTTTCAGAATTTCAAAACCCTAACAAAAAAGAGGTTAAAGACGACGCTCTGGGTTCGTATGATGAAGATGACGATGATGATGATGATGATGACCATGATGTGAATATTTTCGATGAGGATAATCCAGAGCCATGCATTACAAGATCACCTAGTGAGGAGGAATCTATTCTTGTCGAAGGTGGAATAAGTAACTACATACAAACTATTCCTTTAAATTTAGATAAGGATAATGATGAATATATAAAATCAATTCCTTTAAGTAATGATGATAATAAAATCTATATATTAGAGGGTGGTATAAATAGTTATGTACAAACTATACCACTAAATATAGAAGAAAGTAAGCAAATTGAATGTAATTCGAAGAAAACATTTTAATTGTTCTTTAAAATAAAAAATTTATAATATTGTTTTTGGAAATTTTAACATTAACCTCTAATAAGCTATGTTTGTTCTATAATTAAAAAAAAAAAATTTATAATATTGTTCTGAGAAATTTTAACATTAACCTCTTAATAAAGCAATTTTTATTCTTTGGAATAAAAATTTTATAATGCTGTTTTGATTTGTAATATTTGGTCTATACATTACCTTTAATTAACCTTTAAATAACCTTTTATGTTACGATAGGTATTGATAAACACAATAAAACTGCATTTTTATTTGTTGCGAAATATTGAAATTTTTAAAATCGTATATAAGCGATTGTGAGCATTAGAGGGGGCGTGGCACCCGTTTGAAAAACTTGCGCTGCGTAGGAACTCCTAGAATCTGCATGCAAAATGTCAATCGTCTAGCTTTTATAGTTTCCGAGATCTCAGCGTTCATACGGACTGACAGACAGACTGACGGACAGACGGACATGGCTATATCGACTCGGCTAGTGACCCTGATCAAGAATATATATACTTTATAGGGTCGCAAATACTTCCTTCTAGCTGTTACATACTTTTACACGAATACAATATACCCTTTTACTCTACGAGTAACGGGTATAATTAATGAATGGATTTCTTTGTTTCTGTTTTGTGCAGCTGATAACTTACGCAAGCAATAAGACTTTTAGGATTCATTTTTGCAAGTTTTTTAATATTTCTTAAGTAGTTTGCATAGGACAATATACTGTTGTTTTTATAGAAAATAAAGGAAAAAAGTTATGATAAAATCTTTTCTCGGCTTATAGGCTAAAAAGAGGAATTTTTTTAATTTAAAATAAAAACCCAATATAAATTTATGCTAATTTTTCAATTTTAATTTCCGCAGGCGAAGCTGCGGGCTTCCAACCCTGGTAGTTTATTATATAGCTTTGCCAGTAGCCTTCTGATTCTGTCTCTTGAAAGATCCACAAAGATTGTTTACACAAAGGTTTTCAAAAAACGCGCAAATAACAAAGTTCTCACAACCTAATTTCCTAACTCCAAACTCATTTCAAGCGAACGAAGTCGCTCCGGGTATAGCTCGTATATACATACTCGTATATACATATATATCAAATAAAACATCTCTTAACGAGGTAATAAACTAGTGACGATCGCACCTTCAACATACAAAAGTTTTGATATCAACATTTGTGACGAAAAATTATTACATTCGTCATTACATACACTTTGTAAAATTTTCTGATTCTGCCTGCCCTAGCAAACTATTCCAACCTTTTTCTTCTTCACTCTTCACAGGCGTGCCGAATGAGAAAATTTTAGAAAGTGTATTTTATGACGACTGCAATAATTTTTCGTCACAAATGTTGATATCAAAACTTTTGTATGTTGAAGGTGCGATCGTCACTAGTTTTTTACCTCGTTAGGAGGTGTTTTTATTTCACAAGTTTTTGTTTGTTTACTTTTGCTTTCATAGGAGCTAATACATTTAAATTTAAATTAGTCAATCATAATTTTAAAACTATTGTATTTAAACCACAGCTTGCAAATAACTGTCAACCGATTTTCCTAAGGCAGTTTAATCTTGACAAAACCGAAAAAAATGTTGCTCACAAACTCTCTCTCTGAGCGGAACCATTTTTTAGTTTTGCTTGTCGGTTTCGGTCCGACCGTTCGGCTCAACCGAACAAAGCAATCGGTCTTTCAATAACCACTCGGTGAAACCCTTTTAAGTTAACAGTCACCTAAAAGGGTTTCTGAAAGACTACTGTTAAATAAAAGTCAAAAAGGCCTGCTGTGATATGTGCATAAATTTTACACAAGAAATCAAGATAATTATAAAATTGCATTGTACAATGTACATATAAATGTATATAAAATTGTATTCTGAATTTAGGTTAGCTGCTATTTTTTTGTTTGCTTCAATATATTTATTGACTATATAAGGAACTATCTTTAATAAGAAATGCCATAAAGAAACGAATTACCTTTCAAATGAGCTATACCATAAGAATAAATGAGAACTACCATAAGTCTTAAGATAAAAAATGGCTCAAAGTATACCAACCAAGCCTATTCCTACAAAATGGATCGCGCGTTCCTTCAAATCTTTCGAAATATTTTGAATAAAACCAAATAATGTTGTGAAGATATTCTTAAATAGTTAGGAATTGATTTAAAGCTACATAAACAAAATTTGAAACTGCTAAAGGAGGTTTAACCTGTTAAAAAGCTCTAATTTTTCTTGCAGCTTAAAAGATTCGCTTCTTATTACGTGGATTTGGTTATTAATTACTACATAAGATAGATATGCCAAAAGTGGAGTTTTGGGATCGTAAATTATTTAAAATATGTAGAATATTGGAATTTAATGGTAAATGGGCTAATCTTACAGATTCAGCTTTAGAAAGTACACATTACGTATTTTTCCTTACCCTTTTGAATTTTAATAATCAAAACTGACTGAAGCATTACTGAACAGGTCACACATACACACTCATACATTCACAAAAGACCGTTTTCCTTAACAGACCGAGCAAAGTAGTCAGTAGAAACCGAAACCGAAATAACTCTGAAAAAAGGGTTTTGCTCTGAGCGTAACATCTAATAAGCTCACTCCCAGTTGGCATAGGGTTTTTTGTGACAGGTTTTTTCCTAACACTTTGAAAAGGTTGACCGAACCTTGCAAGCTCTGATTTAAACGAATTAAGTTAAAAAGGCGTTGAAGTATTTCAAAATACCTTTTTTAGCGAGGTATAGCACATGTCTGTAGCTTTAGTAGTGTAGAACTAAGAAACTAACGAAATGTAGCTATTTTTAGTTTTTTTCCCGCTAAAGTAACGTGTTTTTCCAAAAGTCGTAGAACAAAAGATTCCTATATGGAACTGTTAAATGCAAATTAACTGATTCCATGAAATTAAAATGCAGTTTGGACACCCACGCACAAAATTAAATGCTTTGAAAGAGTTAGGGCCGGTTTCTCGAGTCCCTGTCAAAGTACATAATACCTATCTGTCCGAAAAACTTAAAGACCAGAAAAACTGTTCGTAAAAGCAAATCCGCTTTCTGGACTGCTTTAATTTATCTGAACGAGAAACAATTACAGAGTGCTGTTAACGCACAGAATTATGGTGTAAAGCGCAAAAAAGGGCGTGATTCGATTATTTCATCAGCTGTTTGGGTATAATTTAAAGGAAAGGTCAGCTGTGATTTCGTTTCTTCTTCTTAGTTGGCTTTGGAAAATCAGCTGTCATTCTATCGAGCCGAAAACACTTAACAGGGACTCCGAGTCCCTGTCAAAGTTAGCTCTCACATTGATGCTCGAGAAAGCCAAAATACCTTAGCAGGGACTTTATCTGTTCGAGAAATGTTAGTCGGCACTCGAGAATTTTTTTCTTTCGTTTCTTAATAACTTTTAAACGTGAGTTTTTACAATAATGTGTTATATACCAAAATTTAAGGAACTTCATGAACTATATGGTTTAAAGTTTTAAAGAAAATTGTAAAAGTGTTTTTTGCTATTTTTTCCGCTAAACTAGCGAGTTTTTCCAAAAGTAGTAGAGCTAATGTTTCTTATATCGACCTGTTTAACACCATATAAAATTTGCAGGACTTTAAACCGACGTTTTGGGACAAACTCATAAACAGAATTACATTTTCAATTTGGGAAGAAGAAGAAAATCTTATTTCACGGTTGCCAATTCAAAAATTTTTTATGAGCCAAAAAAAGACTAAAAATTAGCCAATTTGAATAAAAACAAGAGGGAACGCTATAGTCGGGTTCGTGTCCCGACTATCTAATACCCGTCACTCGGCTAAAGGGAGTGCGAGGGAGATGGATATATATTTTTGGATTGCGTATAACTTTTTAATGAATGGTCCGATTTAAAAAATGTCTTTTACATTTCGATAGGTATAAATAAACACAACAAAATTGCATTTATACTTCTCGGAAATCTTTAAAGGTGTGACCGCCAGGCACATTTTAAAATCGTTAGTGGGCGATTGTGGGCGTTAGAGGGGGCGTTGCTCTCGTCTGAAATAAACTTGCGCTGCGTAGGAAGCCCAAGAATATGTGTGGAAAATCTCAACCTTCTAGCTTTTGTAGTTTCTGAGATCTCAGCGTTCATACGGACAGACAGACAGACAGACAGACAGACGGACAGACAGACGGACAGACGGACATGGCTAGATCGACTCGGCTAGTGACCCTGATCAAGAATATATATACTTTATGGGGTCGGAAACGCTTCCTTCTAGCTGTTACATACTTTTGCACGAATACAATATACCCTTTTACTCTACGAGTAACGGGTATAAACAGCCAACTTTTTACCATACACCAAATTACCATACCGGATTCAGTCCCGAACGGAGCAGTGAAGGCCCTGCTCTCTCTTCAGACGAAGGCAGTAGCAGATTTGTTTAACAAGTGCCTAGTGAAAAGGACCTTTCCCGAGTGTTGGAAGCGCCAAAAACTTCTGCTACTCTCGAAGCCGGGCAAGCCAGCGGGAGAACCCTTGTCGTACAGGCCCATCTGTCTGTTGGACAGCATCGGGAAGGTCTGCGAGAGGGTCATAGCAACAAGGCTGAACACCGCCCTTGAGAGCGCCGGAATACTTTCTCCCAGCCAATATGGGTTCCGAAAGAGAAGATCAACCCTAGATGCGATCGGTAAAGTAACCAGGATTGCGGCTGAAGCCATCGCAGGCACAAGATGGAAGGGAGGGACGAAGGAGTATTGCCTTGTAGTGACACTCGACATCCGGAAAGCGTTCAACACGGCCGATTGGGGAAGGACGCTGGAGTCACTAAGGTCCTTCAACATCCCCGGGTACTTGCTGAACGTAGTCCACAGCTACCTCAGCAAAAGGCAGCTGTCCATCGACACCTCATCCGGACCAAGGATCTACGAGGTCACTGCCGGAGTTCCACAGGGCTCGGTGCTCGGGGCACTGCTGTGGAACACCGTGTACGACGGTGCCGTTAGGCTCCCAATGGCAAGCAACACCAGCATAGTCGGCTTCGCCGATGACGTGGCGC